TCATGGAGGTTGGGTCCATGGAGTGGTATTAGCCAGGGGGTAGAAAAGGTGTCCCTGGCCTCAGTTTGTGGAAGGCTGGAGATGGATGGCATGAGACAAATGGCTTGGTTATTGTCTTCGGTCCATCCCCTCCAGGGTACCTAGCGTGGGCCGCTGTCGGCAGACAGGCCACTGGGCTAGATGGACCTTTGGTCTGACCCAGCACAGCTGTTCTTATGTTCTAAGCTCAGGGCTCAGGGTCGGGGATCTAAGTGGACCACCTTGATTTTCATGCAAACCTGCTCCTGGGTTCGCATTTGGCCTTTGGTGGCCAGGGTGGCAGCTATCCTTCCCTAGACTGCCACTTTCCTGTGCCTACCCCCCAGCCTGTTCCCGGGAAGAGGTGGAGGGCTGAGTGGCAGTGGGTGGCTGGCTCGTGCCGTGCCAGGTGCAGGGTCTGCTGTCTGGGTGCTGACAGGCTTTTACCTGGCCAGGGCACTGTAGCCAGACCGTGCCTCTTTAAGGGCTCCGGGGCCGGGAGGGGGGCAGACGAGTTTCCCTGGTTGTGTCCAGAGTGGCCACCAGGTCAAGCTGGGAAGGGCTAGCCTCCTACTAGTTCGAATTAAGTGGCTACACAGCCCTTAATTCGAACTAGTTAATTTGAACTAGGCGTTAGTCCTCGTAGAATGAGGTTTACCTAGTTTGAATTAAGTGCTCCGCTAGTTCGAATTAAGTTCAAACTAGCGGTTTGCCTGTGTAGCGCCTATCAAAGTTAATTCGAACTGACGACTGTTAGTTTCTATTCAAAGCTTATCTATGGTGTCATCTGTCATCTTGCTCAATTGGTAGCAGGAAAGGAGAAAACTCCAAAGGGGCTCCTCCTTGTGTGCACATACATGATCCTGAATTCATTCACTCCTCAGGAAGTAGACTGTCTGTGGCAAAGCCCTGAGGGCTCTGAGATGGCTCCTGTCCTGCAGCCTGTCCTACCCAACCGTTGTCAGGATTCTCTGTGAGGTCACTACCTCCCAACCCCCTTTAACCAATAAGTGGAAGTGCTGTAAAAGGCCCTTGTGATGTCACTGCCATACCTGTACCTGCCCTTCAGGGCTAATGACTAGCCCCTGGCTAGCCCCTTTGTATACTTGAGCTGTTCCCCGTGTATCTTCCCCCAAATCACTCAGTGTCAGTTCTAGGGATCAAGCAGGCTACACATGGAAATATCAGAGGCTTCTCACTGTGCCACACTCAGTTTTGCACAGTTTTGCAGACTTTAAAGCCCTAAGCTATGCTTAGGTCATTGAATATGACCCCCTGCATATCAGAGGCCTCCTATATGGAACAGTAGCGAGTTGTGAACCAGCGCACATTTTGGAAAGGCATTTGGTCTTTACTGGGAGACATCAAGAGATGGAAAAACCACCATTTCCCTTGGTTGTTTGGGGGAAATTGATGCAGTGAGGAGAAGGGAAGGGACTCGAAGGCTGCACACATGGTGCAGTATCATAATACATATGCACAACAGCACTGCACTAAAGTTGTACACCAGTGGTCCCCAATTTTTTTATGCTCAAGATCACTTTTGAAATGTAAGTGGAACCCAAGATCTACCACGTCCCTTCCCCAATACCCCTCCCTTTCACCAAAACCGCACATTGTTCACTCCATGCCCCCCCACCCTCTGTTGCTTGCTCTCCCCTCCCACCCTCTCTTTTACTGGCCTGCAGCAGGGGCTTTGGGCTCAGGAGGGGATATGGATATGGGGTGCAAGAGGGGATATGGAGTGCTGGCTCTGGAATGGGGCTCAAAGCTAGGGTTGAGTGCTGGCTCTGGGAGGGTGGTTGGAGTGGTTCAGAGGTGCAGAAGGGAATGTTGGGAAAGGGGTCAGGCATGCAGGAGGGGGTGCTGGCTTTGTGATGGTGATCAGAGCTGGGAGAGGTGCCTGAGGTGCAGGAGGAGGTTCAGGATGTAGCAGGTGGTATAGATGCTAGCTCTGGGAGTGGGGTCAGGGCTGAGGCTTGAGTTGCAGCAGGGGGTATAGAGTGCTGGCTCTGAGATGGGGCTCGGTGACTAATTCTAAACCATATTACCTGATGTAAAATCCTGAATAAAATGTACATTTTGTTTTCCTGCTTTCAAAAATGAGACACCATGTCTCATCCTCATTCCAGTTGTCTGATGGGTTCCAAGGTGTAGTATTTGCTGTTGGCATATAGGAGAACAATGATTACTCTTTCGAAGCCAATCACTCTTCAACAGGTGGACAAAACCTGAATAGTTGAAATGTGACTTGGAAGCTTGTTCCATATTTGTAAGTCTTTCTGTGAACAAAGGCAAACAGTTAGGCTATGTCTACACTACCAGGGTTATTTCAAAATACATTATTTCAAAATAATAACTCCCAAAATAACTATTTTGAAATAAGTTCCTCTTCATAAGCAGGATTATTATTTTGAAATAACAAGCACCTTATTTTGAAATAACAGGATGGTAGTGTGGCTGCTCGCCTTGTTATTTTGACATAAGGGGAGATATTTTGAAATAACTCCCCAGTACAGATATCATGTACACAGCAGGGCAAAGCTTGAATTAATCTATGTAACTTAAGCTGTGTCAATTGCGTAGTTGAAGTTGAAATAGCTTAATTCGGCTTTTGGCGCTGTCTACATAGGAGGATACAATGTCAGTGCTGGTGTGCACATTTTTGAAAGGAAGTTGAGAAATTGTAAAGAATTCACAGAAGAGCCACAAGAAAACAGTGGAAAACATTCCTTTCTAATGCAAGATTCAAGGAGCTGAATTTATTATTTTATATCAGAAAAGATTATGGGGTAACATGATTAGCCTACAATTACTTACATGGGAAACAGAAATTGGGTAGACCGGAGCTCTTTAATCTAGCAGGCAAAGGTATAATACAATGAAAAATGAGTGGAAGTTGAACCTAGACAAATCAGACTCAAAATAAATTGTGAATTGTTAACTGTGAAGGTAATTAAACATTGTAACAACTTACCAAAAATTGGGATCTATTTTCCATCAACTGAAAGTTTAAAACAAAAATGGAATGTTTTTTCTAAAAGATACACTTTTGTTCAAAACAGCCTTCCTTCTAGGAAATCCTTTGGCCTATGTCGTATTAACTGATCACTGCAGTCCTTTATGGCTTATGAATAAACAAGCAAAGGCAAAAGCAGGTGTTTAAAAATCTTTATTTTAGGTTTGACTTATAAAACATATAAAAAAGAAGGGAGCCACCATCAGATGAATCATTGTAAACCTTCTGGAAAGTAAAAGTATCACACGGGGTAAGTTATGTCATGTATTGACAACTTTGAAAATTTCCCACTTCTGTGAAAGAATCCTGTAAGCAAGTAGAATGTTTGGTTCCTCATTAGCTCCAAACACTTAATCAGTAACCAAGTTAGAAAAAGGTGATAGTACAGTAGTGGAATGCAATCGATTTATATTCTTCAAATGGGTTCCACTTAGAAGGTTAATATACAACAGATGAAGACCCTGAGGGTACAGTATTGCATCATAGTACATTATCAAGTGCCAGGCCTGGCAGTGCATGAGCTGAAGGTCAGGAATTCATCATCCTTTCATTAAATAACCAAAATGGAAATCAAAGAACAATAAAAAAAGGAAAATCAACAGCAATAGTGGCAGCAAGATTAGAGCTAAGGCTTGCAGTGGGATTACTATTAAAGCTTGTTCGATTTTAAATGGCAAGGTTGTTGGGTTGAACACCGTGAGCTATTTTCTTCTAGTGCAGTGACCTTTTGTAGTAATTTTCCTTTGGGCAAACTGAAAACAGTGAAAAAAGGAGGGGAAGAACCTCATCCAGTTAGTTGTGATCATTTATATTCTTTTTAGGAACTCAAGGTTCTGTTTAATTGATAACCCTTTCTTATACTGTGTCTGGAAATGCATAAGCCATTTAAATTGAATGCTCAGGGAAAAAACACATTCAATTATTCCAATAGTTTGACTTTTATAAATAATTGTGTTCTCTCTAAAAAGGTACAGCTGCACAGCAGCATTACTTTGGAATAGCTGATATTATTTCAAAATAACATAGTGAGTGTCTACACTACAAACTTTTATTTCAAAATAATGTCAAGCTGGAGGACTTCTTAATCTATCTCGTGGAAACTCTCATTTCACGAGGAGTAAGGGAAGTCAAAGGAAGAGTGTTCTTCTTTTGACTTACTGCTATGTAGACAGAAAGCCTAAAGCCAACTTAAGCTATTTTGACTTAAGCTACACAATTGACATAGATGAAGTTGCGTAGCTTATTTTGATCTTAGCTGTGCTATGTGGATGTACCTACCCTAAGTGAATATGTAACTATTACCTGGTTTATTATGTTGCTGCTTTATTCAATGAGAAGCTTGCAATTTTAAGCCTTATAGCAAGGATGGGATTTTCTATTACCATATTTTTAAAAAAAGATTTTTAGTTATTTAAATAATGTATTTTAGCTGTTCTGGGCTGAAACACTCTACGATACAAAATAGAGGAAAAACATCTTCCTGTTTCAGTCATATAGAGATTAAAATAAACTGATTAATATAATCTACTATAGATCTTTCAGACATGCCTGTATGTGTAATATATGCTAAACTTCCTTCCTTATTGATGAAGTCAGCAAGGAGTCCACTTTATCTAATCTAATTTCTGTGTGAATACAAGTACTGGTCATACCATCAATTGGTCACATAGAAATGTCACTAAGAGCATATTTACAGCAGAGTACTAGCTAATCTTGTCAGCAATTCAGTATCCAAATAATTATTATATATTATTCTTCTTTCACTGGGCTTTGATTCTATTTCAGGGAAATAACGTATTCTTTCTTCTCCACCGTGACAGATAAAGTTGAGAGTACAGGAATATTTCATTAGCTGAGCTAATGAAGCAGCTCTTTCTGATAAACTTGTGTATGTCTTTGGAAATGGCATGTGTTGCTTGTTCAATTTCAGTCTGCTTCCTAGACATGTTACCAACTAAAAAAGGTCCCTTCCTCCTCTTTTCCTACACTGCAGTCTTAAAGCTTCACTTGCAGCTAATTACTATGATTGCAAATATGTAGACACTAAAGCTGGGTGAAATATTGAAAGGAAATCTGCAAATGCTTGTTTGACTACATAAATGTTTGTTTGACTATATAAACAAATCAGTTATGGCTATATTTGGACCACTTCTAGGACTGTTTTTGCCAGAAAACGTTTACCAGAAAAAAATGCTTGTAAAACTATGAATTTAAGCAAATATTTTAAATTGCTGGAAAACAAATTTCAAAATGATGATCACAAGCATTCCCACTGAAAACCTGGTTTGTAAGCAAACTATTGGAATTATACAAGTTGTGGATTAAAGAGCTCACTAGTTTCCATCTCCTAAAACGGTTAGGCAACAAAGCTGCCTATTTACACCTTCAGAGAACTTGGCCTATAATTATCTTGATAGAGCCATCTGGGTGTCATTACTTGAGATGTGCATCATTTACCTTTGGGGAAATGAAGGACTTTAATGCCAAAATAAATGTACTATGCCACCATTTTAAACATATATGGAATTGTTTTAATACTCCTGTCTTTCTCTCTTTACTGAGGCTGTAGGAGCCCTGCAGTGCTCAAATTATCCATGAACCATTGTGAAAATGCATGTTCAAAGCCTCACTATTACTTTTTGTATTAATCCCCTCTTAAATTTTGCAGAGGCTTTTCTTAAAGGATTTCTCACTCTTAGCCCAGAGTACTCCATAACATACAATAAAAGAATTGTTAATTGGGGTTGGAAGAGAAGAAAGATGTAGATCAAGAGACAGCAAATGAGGAAGGAAAAACCCTCATTGAGAGAATCTTTTATACAGCATTACATTTGTAGTTAGAGATGAGAAAAAGGGAGAGATGTATTAATTATTTTTGACCAGTAAATTTCATCCTTGTTAATTTATTTATGGGCACAAGAGGGGCAGGGTTTCACAGAGATGAGGGGATTCTACCAAGCT